TTGTAGATATCGTGTGGCATTTTTCCATCGAACTGGAAATTTGCGCATATGTTCCCTGTGTATAAAAAGGGTAGTAAACGGAACGTCGACAATTATCGTGGAATTACATCGTTGTGCGCAATTTCGAAGTTATTCGAGTTGATCATCATAGAGCCTCTGCTCTCCCATTGCAAGCAGTATCTAAGTGAAGATCAACATGGCTTCACCTCTGGTCGATCTACTACCACGAATCTACTGTGTCTGAGATCGTACATCACGCAAAGTATGGTTGAAAGGTCACAAACAGACGTCATTTGCCTTCGATAAGATAAATCACGCCATCGCGATCGCCAAATTGGATAGACTTGGGATTAGCGGAAATCTCTTGAGATGGTTTCGCTCATATCTCGCCGATCGTCAGTTGGTGGTAGCCCATGGTGACTGCCAGTCCGACATTTTCGCAGCTACGTCAGGAATACCTCAAGGAAGTCATCTGGGACCGTTGATTTTCTTACTCTACTTCAATGACGTGAATTTAGTTATCGAAGGTCCACGACTATCGTATGCAGACGATCTCAAAATCTACTTACGGATCTGCTCGATCGATGATTGTCAATTCCTCCAACGTCAGTTTGAAGCGTTTACCAGCTGGTGCCATTTGAACCGAATGACAGTAAATCCTGCGAAGTGTTCAGTGATCACTTTTACCCGAAAGAAAGAACCAGTTATTTTTCACTATGCTCTCCGGGACATCATTATTGAACGTGTGAGCCATGTAAAAGATCTAGGTGTCATCCTGGACTCTCAACTTACATATAAGCAACACATCTCGTACGTCGTCGACAAGTCGTCAAGGACATTGGGCTTTATCTTCAGAACAGCTAAGAATTTCTCCGACATCCATTGCCTCAAGTCACTGTATTTTGTTCCCTGGTACGTTCCATTCTAGAATATTGTTCTGTGGTTTGGAGTCCGAACTACAACAATGGTACTGAGAGAGTCGAGTCCGTTCAACGCCGCTTTCTGCGATACGCGTTGAGAATGTTACCTTGGAGAGACCCGTTTCATTTGCCCAGCTATGAAAGTTCCCTGCCAGCTGATTGACTTGGAGCCTCTTCGCACCAGAAGAGATACTTCAAAAGCCCTGCTTGTCGCGGACACTCATAGGCGTAGCCAGATAGGGGCAGGGGGGGCGACTGCCCCCCCCTAAACTCGGCAACACAAAGGCTTTCGAGGAAATGGCGTTCGGTGAAGTGGCATTCGGCCAAATTTTCCATGGTAATTTTTTTTTTCGCCCCTCCCTAGCTCGAAACCTGGCTACGCCCTTGGACACGTTACATGGCAGAATTGATTGCATGACAATCTTGGAGCAAGTAAACATTAACGTCCAATGTTATGCTGAGAATGCCACTACGTAGGACAAATTATGCAATCAACGGTGCAGTAGACGGACTGCAGCGAGTATTTAACCGAGTTTCAACAGTATTCGATTTTCACCTGCCACGACTAACACTTCGGAGACGTTTCTCTTCATTTTTCTCCAGAAATGGAAACAGTCAATGATCATGTTTTAATGTTTTGTAGTTTTAACTTATGACTTTAATTTTAAGTTAAACCATCATTGGGACCATATTGAGTCTGTTGATGCTGACAAATAAATAATGTCCTCTAGGCCCGATCTCTCAAGCGCCTTTCCATGATCGATTCCCCTAGCTGACCCTCATGAGCTAGCTGGAGCATTCGTGGTCGAAGTTCTCGAGGTACAACTAGTTTATTCCCTCTTACAATCGTATCATCGATTAAACCCAGCTCATTTCGGAATGGTTCAAATGGCTTCACGAATTGGTTATTTCAGTTTCCTGATATGAGGCAATCTTTAACAGCTTCAAGTTCAGGGTCCGATCTAGTAGCAACTTCAATTTCCCCTACATCAATCGCTGCTGATTCCTGAACAGCGAGAACTAAGAAATGGTTGTCTGTTTCGAGCTCAACAGGATCCTTTGCTACTACCAGCCGAGATAGTGAGTCTGCAATATTTCCAGAACCTTTCCGATATTTCACGGTGCACTTGAAGGATTGGAACCTTAATACACACGCTCAATTCGAGCACACGACGTGGATGAAGGTGAGAAAATGATCTCTAACGACTTATGATCTGTCTCCAATTCAAATTCTCTGCCAACCAAATAAACTGAAAAATTTTCTACTGCCAATACCAACGCTGGCGCCTCCTTCTCTGTTTGGCAATAACGTTTCTCGGTTATGGTTAGGCTTTTGCTCGCATAGCTTATACTTCGAGGATCAGCATCAGCTCTTGTTGAGAATATACAACGCAGTATGCCTTGCTTTTAGAGCATAACTCCATTTTCTTCAGTTCAAATTATACTACTAACAAATAAAGACGTTCCTTTCAATTGTAGTTCGAATAGTATTTCGAGTCCAGTCCGATTGTTCCCACTTCTGCCGATAGGTTATGGGTCCAGGCAGTGCAATCGGAACTGGTGAAGATAGAATTTGAATTCGTAACGAGATGGCGGACAAGCTGATGTGGAAAATTTGCAGTCAACGCCTGGATAAAACATGGAGATATGAAAGCGCACGTATCGAAGTTGTCGGAATTGTTCGAGAAGCTCAACAATTTACAGCCGGAAAAGATCCTTAACGACCAATGGTTTGTCGCTATTTTGTTCAGCAGTCTGCCGGAGGAGTACGAGACGTTGGTAACCGGCATTGAAGCTCGACCAGAGAATGATTTGACCCTGGATATGGTGAAGGGCAAGCTCATCGATGAATGGCAGAAAAAGAAGCAGCGCAACGATGATAGCGATAATACTGAAGCTGTTCTCTATGCAAGTTCAAAGGCCGAAAAAGACCGGTGCTTCTTCTGCAAAAAGTTAGGTCACTAGAAGGCAAATTGCGAAAAGTTCAGAGTATGGAAGGCGGAGAAAGGAAACGGAGCTGTATCCAAGCACCTAAAGGCAGTAGGGTAGAGAACTACTTCGGCATAATCGCCCATTTTGGGCCTATCGAGCAGAAAACTTTAAATAAATCCATGATTTCAGAGATCGAGACCATGCTGGAGATTTTCTTATCAACCAGCGGAAATACATTGAAGACGTCATCTGTTCTGTTGGCCTACAGGATGCGAAAGTGTCAACCGTGCCAATTGATCCTGGATACATCAGGACGGAAGATAACGATGGCCAGCTCCCAAATAATCAAGAATATCAAAAGGTAGTTGGGCAGCTGTTGTACATCGCAGTCAACAGCAGACCTGACATCGCAACGGCAATCTCAATCTTGAGTCGTAAGGTGAGTTGGGTAACCCAACGTGACTGGAACGAGTTGAAGCGAATGGTTCGCTACCTGAAGGGGACGATTGATCTGAAGCTTCGACTGAGTAGCAGTGGTGATTTATCTGGTCTGGTGGGTTACGCTGATGCCGATTGGGCAGAATGTCGCGACGACAGGAAGTCCAATAGTGGATATGTATTCAAATACTGCGGAGGAACCATTGCATGGGCATGCCGAAAGCAATCCTGCGTTTCACTATCTACAGCAGAGGCGGAATTCGTGGCTCTTTCCGAAGCATCCCAAGAAGCGGTTTGGCTGCAGAGACTATTGAAGTACCTAGGGGAGAAAACAGAAGCAATATTATTCGAAGACAACCAAAGCTGTTTGAAGATGCTGGACTCCGAAAAGTTCAGTAACCGTACCAAACACATTTCAACAAAATTTCACTACTCCAACGACCTAAAGACGAAAGGTGTTATCAAGTATGAGTACTGCCCTACGGAAAAGATGGCCGCGGATCTTTTAACCAAACCTCTACCACGAATACGGTTGGAATTTCTAAGGAAGCAGTGTGGTCTACTGTAGCAGCGTTGAGGAGGAGTGTTGAGTATATACAACGCAGTATGCCTTGCTTTTAGAGCATAACTTCATTTTCTTCAGTTCAAATTATACTACTGACAAATAAAGACGTTCCTTTCAATTGTAGTTCGAATAGTATTTCGAGTCCAGTCCGATTGTTCCCACTTCTGCCGATAGTTCTACCTTCATATTGAACAAGGACTGCCCCTAGAGCCACTGGAGAAGCATCCGCAATAACTCGAGTTATTGAAAAACGAGAGAGTTTGTACATCAGCGATCATCCTTTTTAGGACCTCAAAACTATCTTGATGTTTCCTTTAGAAGCTGCATCTAGTTCAACTGACACTTCATGTTCTGACAAAGACGCAACAGCTACAACCACTGCTGACCTAGTAACACCATGAAACATCAAAACCTATGGTTAGTACATCACTATTTGAAGAAGATCAAGAGGAGGAAAACATATCATCAGATGAAGCTGAAGAAAACTTCCGGGGATTCAACAATGAAGAGTTAGGTAATAATCAACGAACTAGGAGACTACCTTCAAGATTTGATGATTTTATTTTGTAACGATTTAAGTATTTATGTTGATAACATGATAAATAATAAATTCAGAATATACTGAGCTACCGAACAGATAACAAGTACTTTTACTGTGTGCATGAATTGGAATCCGAATATACCAAGGTACCACAAATAGCATGCTGCGGTTGTCAGGTGCGTTAAAATTGTTTCCCTGAAATGGCAACATCAATACAGATTTGCGACTCCATCCTAGTAAGAAAGAGGTTTTGCTGACGGGTTTGGAGCACTTCTGTGACAAGACTCTTTATGGAATTTAAGGGTTTATCTTCTGGACGTTAGGACCATGTTTCCAGGACAAAACGCAATGGAACAAAATGCCAAAAAGTGTAATCCACTCTACACCAACACATTATACAGCAGGACGAATTACTTATCCAAGCACAGCCACCAGTATAGTATACCACAAAACCCGGTTGTTGTGGGAGCTTCACTGAAACTTCCCTTGGCGCGGACAGTGTTCCTAGCTCAAAATTGACGACGAAAATGCAACTGATATGCGATTAAAGGTTGTGCGCTTAGAAACACATCTCGCTGACCGACCACAAATCACATTCACTTACCGTTATTGCCCATCGTCCGATGGCTTCCTCTCGAACCATAGCCGCTGTGCGATGTCCCAGTAGTTCTCCTCCGTTTGTTGGTGGGCTCTTCACTAGTTTTCCTCTGGCGTCTCTTTTTGGTTGGTGAAATCTCATGTTCTTGATCTGCAATGAAAGAAAATAAAACCTCAACCTTTGAGAACCCGTCTCAATCCACATCCGCTTACTCTCGTCCTGGCTGATCGAATCTCGGGGCGAACTGTTGGGCGTATCATTTGCATCGGTGCCACAGCCGCCGCTACCGGCTGCCGTAGTCGACTTTCTCGTCATCGATTGCACTGCCGTTGCGGCAGCGGAATTGAGTGCTATCGGATCCGACGTTGGTTCCAAGTCCATTGGGACCGGTTTTAAATCGGATGCGATATTTTGCGGCGGCAAAAAGGATGACCCTGTCTCGACGTACACCTTGGTAGATTCCTTCTGGGCGGCGGCTGAAGATACTCCGCATACCGGAGCCGGTGAACCGGGTATCGTTTCCTCGCACAGTAGCATCGACAGGGATTCGCTATTGTTGGTTTGCTGTTGCTGTTGTTGTTTGTCTGTTGGCGTCGTCACCGTCGTGATGGTGGGAGTCGTAGATTCTGAAAGTGGAGCTGCGAGTGAAGGATTCGGTTGAGTGTGTGGCTGTTGTTGCTGGAGTTGTTCTTCGCGTCGAAGTCGTTCCAGCTCGTTTTGGGCGAACGAATCTTGATGGTCTTTGAGTTTTAGGTAACTTTGCGAACCCATGGCGCCATGGATGATCGATTCGAGAATACTTGGCTGCTTACCCTTCTTTGTGTCGACGTGGCTGCTGAGGCCGTACATGATCGTGACGTCCTCTTTGATGTCCTGGTGGGTTTCGGTTTTGTAAATGAGCTTCTCCTTGCAGGCCACGGCGGCCACCGCGGCTGCCGAAGCAGCTGAATGCATCTCGACGTGCGAGAGCATCGGTTTTTCTTCGACTTCCACTTTGATGAGCTTTTCAAAGTCGGTCTGCTGGTTGGGATCCATTGCCTCGGCATCTTCTATCACGAGACGCTCCTCGGAATCGTTACTGTCGGTGCTATCATCATCATGGTGTGTGAACCGAGATGAGTCTGCCTGAACCAGATTGGACGTCTCCAGCTTTTTAATGGATTCGGTGAGATCCTGGCTCTTGGTGCATGTGGTTGGAGGGAGGATTTCCTGGCTGCATGAGAACGTTGGTGGTGTCTTAGCAGATACGATCAGAATCGGTTTCACCAGTTCGATTTCCTTCTTGAGCATGATGGTGGGGACTTCAATCTTGGGCGGCTGAGTGTGATGCGCTTTCAGCGGGATTATGGCACTGAAGCTGGGCACTTCCTGCTTCGGTGGTACCGTGACCACTGGTAATGAACTACTGACAGGCTCTATGGGTACAAGCGAAGGATGCTTATGAAGAACGACCGGGATACTGTATTTGGGAAATTCAGGCTTGACGGCACTAACATGGGGTTGGGGTTGTTGACCAAGAGCCTTCAGTACTTTATCAGCGATCGACGGAGGTTTCTCTGTTTTGGGAGTATCGAAATCAAAGTTCATGTCATTGAAGTACTTTTTACAATTTTCCAACGTAGGTTCTTCCTTAACTTTTTCGTCGAACTTGGAAGGACTCTTGGCTAAAACACTGCAGGAAGGTTCCGGTTCAGAAGGGGACATTACCGGCGTGAAAATTCCTTTCGTAACGGCACCCAGTTTGGCTGCTTCCGGTTTGTGGTCGTCTTCCAGCACAGGTTTTTCGTCTCGATGCGAGACAATGGGGATGCTAGGTGACTTTCTAAACACATCAAATGAGTGAGGGTCCTTCTGATTGGATGAGAATCCAGCGAAATGTGGTGAGGATTTTTCCGGAGTAACCATTATGCTGCTGAAGGTCGCAGCAGCACCCTCCAACTCACTCAGCAGTAGCTTCTCCTTCTCCGGATCCCTTTCTTTTTCTCGCCTGACCAGTTTGAGCTTATCGGTTTCCTTCATCGGTGAGATCTTTTTCGTCTTTTTATCCGTAAGCCCTATAGTTTCCGTTTTCCGTATCAGTCCCTTCTTGACTAGCTTCTTCTCTTCGGACACCACCAGAACAGGTGTTTGGATGGAACTGACGACTTCCGCGGGCGGAACTTCCGATACATGCTTTCTTGGAGTGGCTCCGCCTGCGGTCTTCAGTTCCGGTTCAAATTCTACGTCCTTAAATTCGTAGACATCCGAAATGTTCTTCTCAATCTTGGTGGCGGTTGATTCGAAAATGGATTTGATGGATAATGCTTCCTTGCTGAGCAGTTTGTTCTGCGCCGGGGTCAACGTTGATGAGGAGAGTTTCTTTTCCGCCGGAAGCACCGAACCTACTGCTGCTCCAAGTTTGCTGATGGGCATAACTTTCTCCATCCTCTTATCTCCGGTAAGTTTCTTCTCGGCTCGAAGGGCAGCCAGTGTGCTACTGGACGATCCAGCCGGTGTTACGGAACATGTAGTCGAGGGAAGCGAAATGCCGGAACTTCCGGGAATGGCAGACAATACGGCTGCTGAGACGGCCGTGGCCGTAGTAGCCGCAGCAATAGCCGTCTTGTTGATGACGGTAGCAACGATTTCGTCCTGAACGTTGATCATTTTTGTACTCTTCGATGGCGTTTGTATGGAAGCAACAGAAGCAGAAGTAGCAGCTGTAGAACCGGAAGAACCGGCTGCAAATGTCGAAGGATTGTTGGATGGACGCTGAATGGGATGCACCGCGGCTACCACGGTGGTGGCCTTCTCTTCCGGAAGCAAATGCGATGGTTTGGAAATTACTGGAGCCGGTACTTCTTTAGCTGGAGCTGTAACTGGAGCTGGAGCAGAAGGAGAAGGAGAAGGAGACGGAGAAGGAGAAGGAGGAGCAGGTGCGTTGGCAGCAGGTTGACCAGCTGCAGGTGCTGATCCTATGGGGAAGATCTTTTCAACATCTGTCTCTCGGATGATGGTACTGACTGCATATTTGACGGCATTGTTCTCAGCGTTTGCTATGATGGCCGCAGCCGTTCCGTATGTCTTCAGCGGAGGCTTGTGCGTTATTCCGGATGGACCACCGGTTGATTTGTCCTTTTCGAAGGTTTTTTCGACAACCTTGTCGATGATTTTGGATGTGCTGGTGTCGATGGTTTTGCTGTTTTTGATCACCATTCCTATGCTGGAATTGGTCGATATAACGGAAGTGACGACGTTGGTTGTGACAACCATCGGGGTGGGAGTCGATACCGTCGGTGGTGGGATCGGTGTTTCCGGAGCCGTATCCGAATCGACCATCGCAGTGATGGGCGAACTTGAAAATGCTTTATTCGAAGATTGCGAAGAGTCTTCTTCGCTGAGCGTTTCCGATTCGGAACTCTTTTCATGCTCCTCTTCGATGGGATCGTCAAGTTCATCCTTCAGGGGAGTCCCGTCGCTTTTGGCGCTTATCGAAACCGGTTCATCATCGCGTGGCGGCGTTGACGCACCGGCAGGTGGAATGCTCTTTTCATCGTCGTCGGTCGCCATGGACTGCCCTTGAGTTCCCGGTGCATCCGTTGTGGCCGTTGTGGTGCTGTCCGAAGCCGGTGAGGTTGGGGATTTCAGCTCCTTGAATCCCTTCAGTTCCGAGCGGATCTAGATGTGTAAAAGTTCAAACAAAATAGTGCGGATGAGAGGAAAAGAAAGAAGATTTTGGGGAACCCCTGGTTAGTTATGTTACACGACGGCTCGATGAAGGGATGCATTGGGAAACAGTGCTGTGTGCAGGGGTTTGAGATACAACAGTGCACATAAACCTACGAGCCGGGCTGCTGACCAAACGTGAGTGCTCTTGTTGTGATCAACAGCTATGCAGCAGGTATCTACCAATATGTATATGCATGCAAACGAAGCAAATGTACACACCATAAACCGCTACAGAGAGTCTAGAGGTAGTGGATGCAAGCGGTCCGGGATGACCACCATTGGACCTAACTATAGCCCTAGCTCTAGGCGCTTAATACAAAGGTGACACGCAAAGAAGAAGCCTGTCCAAATCCGTCTGTTTGGTGAACATTTTATGAGCATTAACGGCAAATAACTCACCAACACTAGCGGACCGTGAGTTCCACTACTTAACTTTTCTGACCATCTATACAAGATGGCTCAACGGCTGCTTAATCGATAACTTTGAAACTTATCAACTTTAAATAAACGTTGGATGTAGTAGAGAGGGGTGATTCTATCTGAAATTCAGGGATGATTATTTTTTCTGTCATTAGAACGCGCCAAACGATTAAGCATCTTCACCGATTTGGGGTGAATATTTAAGAGTTGGACCTCAAAATCGTACCAAATCGTTCACAATTCTACCAATCAGATGACTGTTCATTGACTCGGAACTGACAGCAATAGAACGAAACAGACGAGAAACTGAAAGAATATGAAAACTGTTCTCACCGAGAATTTTTAACGAGCATGAGCATTGTTGATCGTACAATTCGTAGCTATAATACTCCGTGATTGAACAGATCCAACCAGATTTGAACGATAGAACCAAATTACTAGGGATGGATTTATTTGCGACGCGACACTAACAACTCTAAAATATGACGGAACTTTGGAATTAACGCAGTGTACTCAGTAAGTAAAAACGGTCGCCACTAGGGCACTGAGCGCTTTATATCGAGTGCCTAATTGAGTTGCTGTTATTACCGTTCAATTCCGTTGGCGCTGTCACGCGAAATAAAAAAAAAATCAACAGGAAAACAACAACAAAGAAGATATTCCGATTGAAAATACAATCTTACAAACTGAGATAGACCAATTCAGTTGTTGAACAATCAATTTGAAGCAGGCTAGACCTGAGTGACCACAGTGGGTTCAAAGGGAAGTGGGTGTGTAATTTCGTTGGATGCGTCGATGTCCAGCTACTTTCTTCTACGGAAAAGTAAACCTAAAAGCACAACTAAAGCGAACAACTAAAACAAAACAATCTACTAGGCCCCCTTTTCCAAGTAGCACAAACAGCACTGTTCTTATCCCTAAATGAAGAATGAAAAGATGTTAGGATAGCGTAATGAAGCGCAATCTCCCTGCGCCGACGTCCGAGACGCAGAGAGACCGGCGCGCGTGTGTGTGTGTGTGTGGTAAAGAGAGAAAGATAGAGAAAGAGTGTGACAGAAACAGAGCATTAGGAGTGAGAATGTGAGGCGACAAACCCCGAAATTTACTTGGTTCAGATCGTAATCGCGACCCTTGGAGGCTCCGTTGCTAAATTCGTCCGAAATAGCCGCCGCGTCCGAGGACGAGCCCGCTTCGGCCGTTGTACTTACTTTCGTGCTACTGGAGCTAATGCTGCTACTGGAGGACGCAGACGACGAGGACGAATTGGACGATGCCGTCGAGGACGAGCTGTTGCTGTTGGTGTTGGCCGGGCACTTTTTGATCGGCTCGTCGGAATCGGTATCGCTGGTGTCATCAGTTTGTATCGAAAGGGATGAGATGTCCGTGTTGTTAGATGTGCGGCGTTTAGATGACGACGAGGAAGTGTTTGGATGACCGCCTCGCGTCACAGGGCGTCGATTGCCACCTCCGGCAGACGCCGGAGATTTATTCCGGTTCGAGGATGTGCTAGGGGTGGTGGACCTCGGTGAGCTCGCAGTTACAGGCGTCGATGGAGTATTGCTTGTGATGTCTCCTTTAGAGTTTCCACGGATTCTCTTGGACGTTTTCGGCGTTGTTGCAGTAGCTGTGGGCGTAACTGTAGATGTAGCCGTGGGGGTTGAGCTCGTTGAGTTCGCTGATGATCCGGGAGGACCGCCTGTGCTGCTACTTCTATTCCTTGGTGGAGGCGCATTCTTGTTGTTGTGGCTGCTACTTTTGTCCGATTTGCCCTTCTTGGACTTGCTGTTGGTAAGATTCTCTGCTACACGCTCTTTCCGTACCCATTCATCGTATCTGAAAAAAAGAAATAACCATCATTGATATTCTTCCTTTTAACGATTCACCACAACACCCTTCTTTCACCTACCTCGTATTCCAGCCGGTGTAGTGCACCAAATATATGGGACTTCCCTCCTGAATCGCAATCTCAATCACCTTCGCCTCGTAGGTTACCTTCTGTTCGTCGTAATAGACCTTCAGCTTGTCTCCGACTTCGATCGGGAAGTCCGGAACAATTTTCCCATCCCCGGACGAAAACGAAGAACTACTGCTCTTACTGTCTCCGGAAACTGACGACGAAGACGCTCCACTGGACGACCCCTTGCCACTGTCCTTGTCGTCTTTTTTCGAATCAGTCGAATCTGTTTCCTTCCTCTTCCGACCACGCTTTTCGTTGACGTCACTGGCCTTCGGTGTAGTTACCTTTACAACAACTTTTTCCTTCTTCACTGTGGCCGGAGGTTCTTCCTTCTTTACCACAACAATTTCCTTAGGCTTCTCCTTTTCCTTCTCTTTCTCCTTTTCCTTTTCTTTTTCTTTCTCCTTTTCCTCAAACTTATCAACTAAAGCCTTCACCTTTCCTATACTAGCACCGGACAGTTTACGTTTACTGATCGGTTTGGTTTCTGCCGTGCTCGATTCACTGGTGTTTCCAGATTCTTCAACCGCCGAGCTGGATGCGGCTTCTGCTGCCGCTGCAGCAGCAGCAGCATTAGCAGCCGCGACAGTAGCAGCAGCAGCCGCAGTAGCAGCGGCAGCATTAGCAGCAGCTGTAGCAGCGGCAGCAGCTGCAGCCGTGGCCGCGGCTGCCGCTGATGTTTTCGATGTGGAAGGCTTCTCCTTCTCTGTAGTTTTCGGTGATTGCACCGAGCTGGCCCGCACCAAACTGCGGCCCTTGGATCGATTTGTTCGAGGATGCGGCACCATCGTACAACCCAGCTTCCGGTTGAACTCTTCGAAAGAGAACAGGAATTTCTTGTAGGCTTGCTTCACCAAATTGGTAATGCTGACCGTGGCCGGGGAAAATCCCAGTCGCAGTGCTATTTGCTTCCATTGATTTTGGCTAGTAACACGGTTGTAGCCGTTTAGCTTTTGCACGGCACGAAACAGCCGATACAGATTGACGTCACGATTGATAATGGATGGAACTTTATTCAGAGGAGTTCCACGATCGTCCATAAATTTGTACAATTGCGCTACGAAGTGATCCTTTTCCTCCGTAGGTTCATCGTCCGAGCTATCGGTTTCCAGTTCCTGTTCGGAATCGCTACAACTGCCGGACATTCCAAACAATACCTCTCTATCCCAGTGCGGCGGTAATACGTCACTGTCCATGTATTCCAGGGCAGCGGAAACGGCAGCCGCTTCCGATTTGTTGGTACTATCTCGGCTGAAATCGGCTGCTTCCTTCTTCGGCACCGTATAGTAACGGCCATCTTTGAAAGAACGCACTAGATACTCATCCTTGACACGGATGCGCACCGTATCCTGGGCGGTAGGTGCCACCACCAGTCCGGGGAACCAGTTTTCCTTGGGGTTCTTCTTCTTGTTGTCGGTAGTCTCGACGCAGACCACCTTGCCGATGTTTTCCTCCTTGTCGCTGTTGTTCGAACGGGAATTTGTAGCCGGTTCTTCGTCCTCGTCCGAACTGTCGTCCGGTAGAAGGTGCCGCGATCTGTGCGGGAAAAATAGAGAAGCTTTAGCAGGTATTCGAATAGGTCTTTTCAGGGACACCATCATTCTGAATTTCATTAGCCGGAATGTGAAAAGAATGAACGGCAATCAAAAGAAAGCAGAACCAGATTTGGGGTAACGGCATTGGAGTAATGTAGCAAAACCAGACAGGCTACAGATAATTGCAGAGCTGTTCTTAAAAAAGGTTTATGATTGTATACAAATTTATTTTAGGTAGAACTCTGGAGCGATCTCATGGGAAATCCAAGAAAACTACAGAACGAGTTTTTATTAATCAGACAAAGGGTGGAGCTTATTCTAAGATGTAAAGAATATTAAATTATGTTTCCTTGATGCCCTCCTTTCGTGTTAAATATAATGTAGACCGTAACAGTGAGTAATCGACCCTATCTTCAACTAACTTTAGTATTAAGAAACATTTTAGAACTCTCTCTTGTATTTCCATATTATTTGATCCATGAAACACTAGAATTTAAATCTGTAGACCACTATTTGAATTCATTCTTAAATTCTCTTTAAATCCCTAATAATTCTCCTGAAAATTATCTTGTAATTCATCTCAACATTCACTAAGTATTCTACCGAAATTTCCATGGAATTATCCTCGGAGTTCTGCTCATAATTATCTTGGAGAGATTTTATACATTCCTTGAAAAGCTCCTCTTAATTCTATTGGAATTCATTTGAATGTCGTAAAAATTATCACTGGAATAACCTTGAAATAACCTCGGGATTCACTTCAAACTCTCCTATGCATTTATGGAATTTTCCGAGGAATTCCTTAAAGTTTTTTTTTTTAATTATACTCGAAATACAATTCTCTTCTCTTCGGAATTTCCATGAAACTTTTGGTACATGGGAAACGGTTATACTGTTGGCCAGTAGATCTAAAAAATTGGGCCCATCGATACAAATCTCCTGTTTTTCAATTTTTCATACTAACATGTGTCATTTGGACAATACAAATACAGATCCCTTTCAATTATTTTCAGAACTCCCTTTGAATTCTTCTCCATCTTCTTACCATGGAATTCACTTGAAGTTCTCCTCACAAATCCTTTAAAATTCTCCTCGAAATCAGTTTAGAATTTAAGTAAGAGCTTAGCAAGGCAAGGAGCTATGCTTCAGATTCCTTTTGATCCCAAATTTTTATGAAATTTTCCTCAGAACTTCAACCCCTTTGAATTTCCTTTGAACTTTATTCAGAATTATCATGAACTCATACTCAAAGTTCTCTTGAAAATTTCTTTTGAATTCCTAAGAAATTGACATCAGAAAATTCCATGCAACTTTGTTTGAAACCTATTCAGGATTGCTTTGGTATTCTACTCAGAACTACCATGAAAGCAATCCTTAGATTGTACATAAATATTTTCCCACAATTCTTCCCAGAACTGGAATAATGGAAAATCTTCAATGTCCAATATCTCGAATAGTTAGTTTCGTCCCAGATTCATGATTAGTTCAAAATTATATAACATAGAGATTTTGACTTATCAAATTTGTAGCTGCTGGTGGAGAGTGGAGGTTAATTTTCCTCAGAATCATTAAATTCTCCTAAATTTCTTTGAATATTCCCCTAAATTCAATTAGGTAGTAAGACCATGAAAACCTCAAACTCCCCAAAACAGATTCCGTAGATCCCAGAGATGAACTAGCCTAAGGCTAAAAATCTCTTAAATAAAGAATTAAAAAAAAAAAATTCCGTAGATCCCATCAATAAATGCCCAGAAAGTCCGGATCTTGAAGCTTTTGAATATGAAATAATGTATGATATTGAAATCTACAACAAACAAATTTAACACCACTCACCTTCTACCCCTTCTACCGCCGATCACCGGATTCCCGAAGTGCTCCGGATGGGTCAACGGTAGCTGATCTAACGTTTCACTCTCATTGAAATGTCTTCCACTTTTCAAACACAATGCACTGCGCCGTAGCGTCGTAATGTCCCCATCGTCAAACACAACCGTATACTGTGAACAGTCCTGGATCTTGGTTAATGTCGCTTCCACGTATTCTTTCCGTTCCGGATGTTTCACTTCTACCGTTGCCCCAACGCGGAGCGCCCCCTTGATCTGGTCGTCGGACACGACGCCGGACCCCAGTCCGACCTGTTTGTACGCGACCCTGCACTTGATGTTACGTACCACCTTGCGGACCTTGGCCTCACAGAAAGCCCCCTTGTATTTGGCGCTTACCTCCGTGCCAACAGTCAAATACGGGGGATCGTCTGCTTGCTGAAAGTAGGTGAACATAGTAGTGGCCCCAGGCGGGGAACATTAAAATCGATACAAGATAAACAATCTCCTCTGCAAGTTGCATACGTGACTCATTACTTCGATAACGTATTGTTTTGATGGAAGTGCACATAAAATGCATCGTTGTCAATCGGATTTGCAAAGTGCATTTAAAGAATTTTTGATCAAAATGGGTCGCAGCGCCCAATTTTCATTCGTTCGCTTGACGAGCGGGATGTAGGCACGGATGGGATGAGGGAGAGAGGCAAGCTACGCAGTGGAAAAAAGGTCAAAGGAACAACTCACCTGCATTTTCTGGAGGAAATAGCGCTCGAAACTGAGATTATCGCTAACAATCGCCACGGTTACGGGTTGATGTGGGTTTGCGGTGCACTTTGACGCCCAAGTTGGCCAGATTTTCACAACATTTCAGATGGAATTTTCGGAAAAACTGTCCTGTACGGGGGAATCCTTTTGCACTCTTTGCGTCTTTGAATTTTTGTACTAGTTTGGCGGACGACGAGACACACACGCACAGTTTGGAATAAAAACATTACGAAACGCTTGAACGCACACAGCCTTGCGGAGGACCCGAGTAAAAAGGAAACTCATTTTTTGACAGCTGGCAGAGCCGATTTGGGCCCAGTGAGTGAGTTGAAATTCGTTTGGAATGGGGGAATTCCATCGAGCGTCCGTTTGAGTTTTTGAAAAGGGCTTGAGTTATTACTTGGAACATATTTGATAAAAACAGCCCCCTGCTTCGATGCCAACATCAGTGCTGAGATTGGTCATTGTCATTCATTGACAGACTTTCGCGCGATATTGACATAATTGTTATTCACATAGTCACTGTTAGACTTGATCCTCAAAAAACCATCGCCAAATCTCATTCGTTTTTTCGTCAATGACAAAGATTCACCCAAGGTGGCTACATAAAGGTGTTCTACACAGCAAAAAAAGTTGTTGAATATTACATCGAAACTGCTGCAACCAGGTCAATCCCTCGGTTGTGTAATATCACATTGTACGATGTACATCCATTTTGCGAACAAAATTACATCCATTGATGTAATATTGTATCTGCTTTTTGCTATTACATCATTATTTCATACATCAGCTTGAATTACGTTGATCGATATTACATTTTTTTTGCTGTGTAATGTGTCAAATTCATGATTCAGCCATGTTGGATTTTTGTATGGGACAGCGACCGAGTTTGTTTACAATTTGCTCTAAAACCGCACTTCCCCCCCGCGACCTCCTCGCCTATATAGTGACAAAGCTGTATCACCATTTATATACCCACCATAGATTCACCTGGTAACAAAAAGTGTAATTTCGTGCATTCTATGTCAATTATTGTTATCCAAGCAGTTCAAGGCGAAGATGCCTGTTCACTTGAGCGGCTCGATGTAATTTTTTTGCTCAAATCATTTAATTTTCTTACAAATTTAGCCAATAAAACAATCTGCACATGTTCGTCACTGACAGCATTGTCACCACACTGAACCAAAAAGTTCATCCTGGCATCGAATGATTATTGCCTCACTCAAGCCCTACAACTATAGAGGTAACTCTCTACAAAATCTGTTGCTATAACTATTATCAGATAATTTTGAGAGGATCGTCATTCGATTTATCATCTGTTGGAATATGAACAAATCAAATGACAATCATCCATATAATGAATGATTTTAGATCGATTCGCGAAAACCAAAGTAGACATAAATCAAACATAAAATCATAGGATAATCGTATTATTTTCAGCTAACTATTAAATTGGAATGGTATGGTCGACTTTCGGATGAAAATCAGGTGCATTAACATCAAGTCATTTACAATTTTACAATATTGAGAGACGAATGATGATGGCGAGGTAGAGCCAACTGAAGGGCAAAGATGTTGTTATACAGCAGATTGATGTTGGCTTCATAGACCTTCCAGTTTGCTCTGCGATTGCTCTGGCTCTTAAGAAACGTATCCGTACAAACTTAAATTTTTTCGCCAAGATTCCAACAGCTGAGTAATTCTGCAATTTATTTTGCTGAGATTCAGTCAAAAAATTGCCGAACCTCAGCTAACAAATAACATTTTGCTGAGATATCAGCTAACAAACAGATATTTTGCAGAGATATCAGCAAAAGTGAATGCCGAAGTAATCGGCTGTTGGAGATTTTACCGAGCTAGATTCCAGTCCATCGTTCCTTTCAAATAGCGTACCACGCGCTTCGCAGCGGTCCAATCAGCCTCCGTGGGAGCACTGAATTTCCGACCAAGAATCCCGACACTTGTCGCTATGTCCGGGCGTGCACACACCGCAACATATAGTAGTGCACCTACCACGCTTCTGTACTTCGTACCATCTTCGAATGGTTTGCTGTCAATCTCATCCTTCAGATAGCCCTGATCCATGGGCGTTCTTGCTGTCTTTGCTTCGCTAAGACTTGTCCTGGCAACCAGTAGTTCAATGTAGTTGGTCAAACTCACACTGAACACGCCATTAATTCTCCCTTCGAACTTCCTGTCCAACGAAATGTTTCACATCGCCGAGATTAACTATTTCGAAATGCTGACTCAGCTGCTTCTGAACACGAGTTTGTGTCAGAACACGTTTAGCTTCCGGTTCCAACATCGAGCTGACTGTTTCAGTCCGTATATGCTTCTACAAAGTCGGCAAACAATCTCCTCCTTTCCGTGAACCTCGTAGCCAGGTGGTTGACGCATATAGATTTCTTGTTCGATTTCTCCATAGAGATACGCGGTGCGGACATCCAAGTGCTTCAACGCCATTCCTCTCTTTCCAGCCAGGGACAACAGGACTCTGAGTGTAGCATGTTTGGTCACAGGGGCGAACACTTCATCGTAATCAACGCCATAGCACTGAGTGAATCCCTGCGCGACGATCCTTGCTTTGTAGCGGACGACTTCATTTGATTCGTTCCGTTTTACTTTGAACACCCAACGACTGCCTACAACTTTCTTGCCCTTCGGAAGTGGCACCAACTCCCACGTCCCATTCTGCTTATGCGACTGGATTTCGCTATCCATCGCTTCCTTCCACGAACATCGATCCGGACTGGACACTGCTTGCTTGTATGTTGCTGGTTCCTGCACCTTCTGTGTCACAACACCTACCACATAATCCGACAAACGGCTCGGTAGCACGCCGTAGGTGCGACGACCTTGTCGATTTGCACTTTCTAATTCTTCCCTCACTTCATCTTCTTTTTCCTCCTCCTTCACCGCGAGGGGATCTTCATCTGAATCGGGATCGTCCACATCAAAATAATCTTCACGCTCACTGTCTTCGCTCGCCGGTTCTTCATCCTCTTCGCCACTATCGGCAGTTCCTTCTTCCGCTGCCTGCTGTTTCCGGAGCACCTCAGGAAAAGGCCACTCGATCACACTGCTAGACAAATTTTCATCAGATGTCGCTTGCGAATCCATTCTATGTGACGATCCGTCGTCCATTTCTAAAAATTTGGCGTCACGGCTTATTGTGATCCTGTCAGTCGAGGTATCAACAAAACGGTAACCCTTGTGAACGTCAGAGTTCCCAATAAACCGCAGCTTCCTCGCTTTACTGTCAAATTTTCCCCGTTTGACATCGGGAATGTGGACATAAGCAGGACAACCATATACTTTCAAATGGCTAAGTATCGGTTGCCTCCCATACCACTTTTCATACGGAGTCTTGTCAACCGATCGTGACGGAAGTCGGTTCTGCAAATAAGCAGCCGAAAGTACGGCCTCACCCCAGAACCGCTTATCCAAACCCGCATCAAGGAGCATCGTCGTCGCCATTTCTTGTAGCGACCGGTTCTTCCGCTCAGTTACACCATTCTGCTGCGGTGTGTACGCTGTGGTGTACTGTGCCTTAATTCCCTCGTGTGTGAAGAAATTATTTAACTCCTTGTTCGCATACTCGCCTCCACCGTCTGAGCGAATAATACGCGGCTTTCGGTTGAACAAATTTGTCACGTACCGAACATACTCCTTTACCTTCTCCGGCGCTTCCGACTTCTTCTCGAGCAAATCATGACCAACAATTAAAATGGCCTTAACTCCATTTTGTAAACAAACCTTGTAAGGCCATTTTCTCGCGAACCGAAACCTACATTTTCAAACCTAAACCACAATCGGGTAGAGGAGAATTTCTCCTATCTGTCCATTATGTTGGTTTGCCTTTTCGGACTTCGGTTCGCGAGAAAATGGCCTTACAAGGTTTGTTTACAAAATGGAGTTAAGGCCATTTCAGTTGTTGGTCTTGAAATAGACGACCGTAAAGCGACTAAAGTCATCTATCATCGTCATCAAGAATCGTTTACCACCCGGCGTCGTTGTCCGCATTGACCCACACAGGTCGGTGTGAATCAGATCCAACACTTGAGTCGACTTCCTCTCCGCTGCCTTTGAAATCGGGTTTCGTGTCATCTTCCCTTCTAAACAAGGTTCGCAACATTCTCTGATACCACAGTCGGTAACATTCATACCGATACCCAGTTTCTCGTCACGAATCCTACCAATAACACCAGGGTCCCTATGCCCGAAACGTCGGTGCCACTGATGCTGGCAATTAAGGTTGTGTGCCTTACCTTGAACTTTCTTCGACGACTCCGCCAACTTCAGTCTGTATAGGCAGCCAGACCGCTCACCAACGATCGCAACCGTACCTGCAGTGTCTCGAATTTTACACCCGTCCTCCATAAAAACGGCAGTAAAACCAACAATCAATACGAAACTAACGATTTTAAATTGGCTCACCACTTTAGTAGCCTATTGGTCCCAAGCAAACGATTAACGTACCCTATTCTAGTTGAAATTCTATTACTACACTATGTTTGTTTTGATTCGCTATGAAAGTTTGACAGATAATATCAGGGGTGTGTGGATTCATGCAGAACATGCAGGGGTGAGTGAAATAGCTTGGGACTGCTTGGGACCGTTGTTCTGGTACTGAGTGAGCCAAAAATAATAATGATTTTCTTCGGGACCCAGTGGTCTTAGAGTTACCTCTATTGTTTTACCACTTGACTTACTTTTTACATAAAAACATCGTCCCGAAACTCACTAAAGACATCTCGCGAGCTATTCGCGGAAAAAAACCTTGCAAAACCAAGTCTCAAACAATGTTGCATACAAGTTCGATAGAATGTATAGAAACGTCAAAGAGATCCGTTCACTTCATCGACTTTCTCTTTCGTAAATAATTCAGTAGCAAACACATTCCTTGATTTGTGTGCCATTCTGGATGCTAGATGAGAACCTCCTTTATCAAACTATGTGGCAGAAATAGCGCAAAATCTGTTTATAAAGCTGTGGCTATCAAAAGAGAAAGTCGGTGAAGAGAATCGATCAAAGTTAGTTACACCCCTTTCCTTCTAATTGCGTGTACGACTATTGAGGAGAAAGAATTATTCTGTTTGTCTGTGGTTAAAATATAACTACTCTTCGCATGTTTACCACCGACAAACCGACATGACACTTAATTTTGACTTATGCCCGAAAATCGTAAACGGTCGATTTAAATGTGCAGTGATCCGAACTGTCAAAACCATAGGATTTTTTGATCTAGATAAAAATAATTTGTCCAGAATAGATCAGACACGAACCAATTCATAGCTTTTGCATGCGGGTTTCTTGGCTTAGCTAAATACCCAACAAACAATTTTAGCTGCAGATTAGCTTATACAGCCAAAATTTGCCTTATGCAGCTAATTTTTGCCTGTATAAGCAAAACTGCAGCTAAAATTGATTGTTGGGTATTTCCCGCGAACACGGAGCCAGAAGTCAGTAGTGTGCTTTGATCAGAAATTTTATTACTTTTGCTATGGTCATTCATGTCGGTTTGTCGGTGTGTTTACTGCAAGGTTCGACCCAGAGACGATGTTAAATAAGAGACGCGCGAAGACTGAAGTCAATCGAACCGTCAAACGTGGTTCCAATCGAGCACGAGCGCTTCACGAGGAAAAGCGTGGGGAGTATTGAGATTGAAATTTATTTTTTGTGATTTAAATAATTATAAATAAGTTTTCATATGAAAATCATAAATCATTAATCAAGTCAGGCCAATGATAATCTTTTACATCATCATAAATTTCATTATCTGTTCCCTCGTTGAAATCCGCAACAACTTCAAAAACAATAACTGCACCCGGAGCTAAAAGTTTTCCCCTACTCGATGCCATTTATACATTTAAATAGTAATTGAAATGTAGCTGAAATATAATATATCAGTTTTAAATCGAATTGCTTCTAAACGACAATTCAATTATTAATATGGTAGATTAATTACGCTACATAATCGAGAGGTTTCCGTCACACTTTGACTGCGCCTTAAGGTGATACTCTAAGGAAGCCTTAGCGTGAAACTTTAAAGGCACAAATGTCAGCTCCCACAAAACATACAAATTTGAAATTGCTACTCCTTGTTTGCTGTGCTTCTACAAACAGAGAGTAGCAATTTCAAATTTGTATGTTTTGTGAAAGCTGCCATTTGTGCCTTTGAAGTTTCACGCTAAGGCTTCCTTAGAGTATCACCTTAATTGTAATCACTTTTCTCTGAGGCGCCGCCTTTGGGAAACCAGAAGAAACTGAAATTTTGTTTTATTTGGTATATTTTTATAGAAGAATGCCGTGCATTTCAATTGAATTTTTCTAATAATGACTATACGGTCAAAAAAGTATTCGTTTTACCGTGACGCTGAAGCAGACGGCAGTGTCTCAAATTAAAAGTCACTCTAAATAAACACAAAATTGCGGGTTGCCAAACCTTCCAGACAAAATAATTTAGTTGGCCGTCCAACTAGATTTACTTTTATTCCCTCCGCGCGTCTCTTATAAAACATCGTCTCTGGTTCGACCCTACTCCATCAATTCCTACAAAGAAATCTAAATTTAAACTACTTAGTGAAAAGTTGTAAGAATATGAGCAATTTGTGTGTAAAACTGAGCATGCCAACCCAACAAATATTAAAAGCAGAATTAGAGGAATTAAGGCGTCATTAAGGTAAAAATATGCTTCTTCCGCTGAAAAGTGGTTTATTCAGCTTTTAATCAGCAAAAAAATTTGGTTGGGAAGCATGTGTAAAATTGAGGTGTAATTTACTTTGGATCGTTTTCCAAAAATTCAAACTCAGTTTTTATATTTTATATTGCAAAAAGTATCCGTCAATTTACTCCTCTTTCCGTTTTACATCAAATGACGATAGATTTTTGCAATCTGAAATGATCCCCAAAAAAAAAATGGATTTAAATTTATTGAAAACATACCAACGTAAATTCACTGGAGCGTTTTAAATACAATGGATTTGAGTTTATTACTGTTTAAGATTTCTTTCACACGTCACGGCGGTAAATAATAGGAGTTGTTGATCAGTTTGCAGTTCACACAAAAAGAGAGCAAAGTCCCAGCTTGCATCGTTTATTTATTCCGTATATCGTTATTCGAGTGCAATAGCTGATCTTTAAGCACTGAGTTTTTTTTTATTTTCAGGATTAATGTGATTGTGATATAACACGAAACAAAAAACAAAATTCGTTGATCCATATGCGAAATCGATTTTACTTTATTTTTGTGGTTTTTCGTGTGTGTATAAACTTTAATAGTATGGATTTTCTATTGTTGTATGATTTTGCTCTTCTGATAAGTGTCTTGTTCTGTTTGTTTTTTTTTTTATTATTGTTACTTTTAACTGTTCATTAACCTCTGTATCGTGGTAATCTGCGGTGTGATAGTGGTTTGTTTCATTTGTTCTTTTTTTGTTTCACATTTCTTTGTTTGCTTGTTTTAAGTGCTTGTTCCATTCAAACTTCATACGACGTTTATCTTGTGCACTGACTTTGGCTTAAAACTTGTCTTTTTTGCTCTCTTGTTTGTTTTCTTCTTCTTCTTAAGTTGATTAAAATGTTTTCGTTATCTCCTCTTACTTTTCATTACTTAAAAAACACATGTCCACAGTCATTTTTCCAAATAGAAGATGTGCTGTTTGCTCTCAATAGTAATAATACAGTATTCATAATATTGTGTAATGCTTCTTGTTCATTTTTGTTTTCTATTAAGTTATGATCTTACATTCTATTTGAAACAATTTGTGTGCACTATGTATTTGCATGATTACTTGCGATGTGATTTTCTTTTTGCTCTTACGTAACTTCCATTTTTGATGCACTACAATTCAAACAGAAACACATTTGCTGAAGTCTTTTAAGCTTATCTTCAAAATAGATAAGAATTAGATTTTGAAACTTTGATGCCAAGTTTGGCCCAAAAGAAATTCAACAACTGACTAGAGATATTTCTGATGAGCTGCGTTTGACTAAATGAACACATTTAACTATAAACAAACATTGTATTCTCTTCACAGAAGTAGTTCCTCCCCGTTGCCTATGATTGTAAGGATTGTAACAAGGGTAGTATCGTTTTCGTCGTTTCTAGATTGTAAGTCGGCATCGATGGAAAGAGAATAAGTTGCCTTTTTTTGGATTGATTTTTAGATAGCATGCAAAAAGAGGAACGAGGAACATATTGATTACGTAAAGGTGTGGCAGAATATTCCAGCTCTGCACTGGTCGTGATAAATAGAACAAAAAAAAGTAATGTTTTTCGACTAGTCTCTTCAATATTATTTTTCTTTTCTTCTTTTTGATATCCATTTTTGTTACAGGATAATCGAGTGTGTATGTACGGGAGTGAGACATATGAGAAACATCAACCGCGATCTTGTTTCGTTTTAATTTTCCGTAAACGTTTTTCTGCGTCATCCAGAGAAATAACCTAGGATCTGTGAGTGCGTGCATAAGTTTGATGCTTGATTTTTTGGTTAAACGTTTCTTAATTGATGAGATCAAAGATTGCCAACGTTGCGTTGTTTAGTCCTGCTTGACGCCATTGTTGGTGGCCTTTTCTGCAGCGTTCAGGGCTTCCCGTCGGCTGGCCTGTAATAGAAATGCATATTTTGTTTAGTTTATCCGGTCATGATTTTGGAATTGAAGTTTAGTTTTCATACCTGGTACCATATCACTAGTCGGCCGATAAGCATGAAGGTAAACACTAGGGCTGGTCCACAGCGTTCGAAGGGATCACTCACCATGTAGTGCGAGTACACGGCTAGGAACATCAGCGTCAGCAGGGTCACGTTGGCTGCGTTTTTGATTTTATCTATAAATATATGGAGATATTTATTATACACATTTTATGAGAGGAAATTAAGTTTGCATAAATGTTTAGTGAACTAAACTTTAATAACTAAATAATACAATTCTTATATTATAGATTTTGTTTTTTTCCTACCCTATTTGAGAGGAAGAGGCTCAAGAGAAGATAAAGTTAGTCTTCCACTACACGAGTTCGGATTGACGGTGATGAAATCGAGGTGGTGGATGAGTTCGTATAGCTGGGCTCAGTGGTGACCGCCGATAATGACACCAGAAGAGAAATCCAAAGACGCATTATGGCAGAAAATCGTGCTTATACTTTGAACTCCGAAGGACACTCCGATGCTGATTATTTACGAGACGCTGATTAGACCGTTGGTCCTCTACACACTTAGATTGTTTCGCCGAGCCAACAAAAAAAAAAAAAAAGTGCCGAGAATCCAACAGCCAAGACTTGGGCAAACATCTCTGTAAACCATTCAATTGCAGTGAGATCGACAAAGCAAAATTTACCATAACTGTCAAATTTTGCCAAGCCTTCGAAAAATTGTTTATCGTTTATCGGTAGTTTGTTTTGTGTGAAAGGGGGAGAGGTAGCTCATCGATTCTTCCGGTTCGCCTCCTAGCATCGTGCTATAAGGTACCAGGCGATAACCAGGGTAGTTGATCGATAGCTCGATGACGTCATTTAGTTGGCGTCTGCAATGGGAAATTCTCATAGCAGGTGTTGACGATGGGACGTTGTCGAGTTGTTGAATAGCACCTATCGTGGTAACTCACCGATTACCTGTCGATCTGCCAAATTTGGAAAGACGTCTACATTGAATTGTCTCATATAATAATATTCCGCCCACTATATCACAAGAAATTGCGAGTAGCTGAGTGGAATGGAGATAAGTTAAGCATTGGGTACAGGACCAAGTCTCCCCTGGGTGGTGCCAAAAGATGAGCGCAATAGAATCATCAAGTTGCCATAAGGCACGGAATGAGACTATTGCATGGCTGGGTAGTCAAAGTCTTCCATTCGTTAGTCATTTCAGTGGATTAGAACAGGTTTACTGCCGCTATTCGCATAACAGTCCCATGTCCTATGGATTTCATATCTACATGGGATTGTTATGCGAATAGCGTTAGTTTAGGTGGGCGTTGGCCAGATTTGGATTTTTCAGATGTAATCCTGGATAGGAACCTGTCATTAAACGTCGCGTGAAAGTGGAACTTAATCAAGGCCTAAGTACTTTTTCGTAGTTTTTAGTTTTCGGATTTGAAAGATCGTCGGTTACAGGGGCCTGCTTACTGAGCAGAAAAACGCGGTCCCAGGTCCTTACATATCAAAGAGATTTATGGTAAAATCGCTTATGTATCGTGTATTTTGCGAAACTCGTTGTTGTCGTTGGTTCCGGGTTTGAATGGATACACAAATTTGAGCAACGGTATTATGTGATATGAGGGGCTCGGTGGCCTTAGAGCAACCGTTTTTGCTTACTGAGCAGAACATCATGAGTCTAATCTCAGGCCCATCCACATTCAAGATTCGTCAATCGTTTTATTTGTTAATATGACTACATGGTAATAACAGCAACTCGGTGATTAAAAAGGAGCTCGTCTGCCTAGTGGCAAACGTTTTTGCTTACTGAGCAGAAGACCGTGGGTTTAGTCCCAAGCTACTTCGCGTTATATGATCGTTAGGACATCAATTCAGCTTATCGTTTACCAAAACGAACCCTGCTGCAAACCCAACCCTCTTATCCAACATCCCAGTGATTCCTCGTGGAACTGCAGAGGTGTTCTCGGCTTCCATTAAAGCGAGTGTCATGTCAACACAATCCTTCCCATTCCTTTCTTGACTTGTGTTCGGGCGCGGCCGGCGCTTGTATTGCCTAATTTAAGATCACCAGTTTTTACACATTGAGGATGATTGCTAGTCCCAAGCATCGTCTATTGGTTCTCTGTGTAATTACAGCTGATCTGATAACAGAGTAGCAACCGTGGGTGGTCAATCAAGCTCAAGCTCAAGCTCGGTAGTTTGTTTTGTGTGAAAGATTTTTTAAAGAGAAATAAAAGAAGTAGGATCTAGCCATAAATTCTAGTCAGTACTTATCGTACTCTCGAAAAAAAAAACGGGATTTTTCTGAACTGCAACGCACTACTGCTGACCACACGTCCTCTATTGGTGAATCAAACCAAAGCCAACATTGGTCATGCGACACCTAGTTTTAAGATTCGCAATCACAATGATGATGTACTAAAAAAAATCATGCAATTTGACAGATATTAAAACGTCATTACCATTTTCACCCACTCGCCATCTGTGAGTCAATCGTCACTTTGATTCTTCAATTTCAACCTTCTTTTCAGCTTGGCTACCCCTTTCACTTTCCATGCGCACCTACATGGCGAATGAGAAAGACCCAAATTTGAATTTAGTTCACTCATAATCTGCAAAAGTGCAGGAACTCAGCGATGAGTAAATTTGATTTATGATTACTAGAGTCTGCCGGAAAATGAGGAAATTGACGAAAATTTTACTCAGTCTAGAGTAGTACCAATAGACTGAGTGAATTCAATCAGGGTTGCTTCCACTCACTTGCTATAAAAACATATTTTTTTCGGAATTATGCAATCATTAGATCAAGAGCAAATTTTCATTATGTCGTAAGTAACATTCGCACCAATCCGAGAAAAATAAAGTTTTGTTTCGATGACCGAAAAGTTATTCCTATTTCCAAGTAAACACATATAATCTCATAGTGATAGCAATGTTTAACATATTTAGCAGGATGTTAATCATACAAATGCAAATCGCTAGCTTTCATGCTAAAAAATACTGGTTTTTTAGTCAAAAGTTATTATACGTCGTTTGGTGGCCCCTATTGTTACTTAAGTCAAAGTGTATTTACCAGGATATTCGGGAGAATTATCAATTACGTCTCCTAACGTGCAGCCCATTCATCATTTTAGGACCACCGAAATCATCTTAGCAACAAACAGTTCGATTTATTCACTTTAATAATGAGAAAGCGAAACGACGAACGTACACTTTTCACGGGTTTCTCAGCGCTGTTACTTAAGTCAAACGGCATCTCCATAGAAATTGGGTGACTTAAGTAACATCGAAAACTATTTTGATCGGAAGGTGATTACGTCAAAAAGCAATTTGACTGGTAAATAAATTTAAAAATGGGATTTGATCCTATATTCGGACAGCATATAGTGTAATAGCAGGAGAATCGATTGACACTGATAGCTCGACTTTGTTTACCTTTGTTACGTTCGACGTAATGAAAATTTGCTCTTGAGATGATGTAATGATATATCACAGACAAACAGACATAACACTCGCAAGTTGTTCATCGAACAAGCATTTAACGGCCAATTTAAAAGTATCGTAGTTGGTAGTACCACCACCTGTGGCGCGCATAGTCAATTCCCTTGCGTTTGACGTTTACACACTACCGCCATCTGTTCAACGTACTACCCACCACAGTGTACTCAACAGATGGCGATTATGTTTTAGCGACGATATTTTACAGTGAGAAATATTCAATGTGTTATGTCTGTTTGTCTGTGGATATATTGTACTTGTAGAAAAGGGTGTAAAGCATGTGTTTGACTCATAAAACCTGTCAATTTCGCTTTCTTAGCGTCACAATAAGCGATCTTATGATTCGTGAGCGTTCACTCGGAGTGAACACTTACGAGTTGATTGTGACGCACTGAAAGCAATATTGACAGATTTTATGTGTCAAAGACATACTTCACGTCCTCTTTGTGTAACCCTTAGTACTTGTAATAATTATCACTATACCATCTCATGATTTTAATTCAATTAAAAAAAAAATATAGTAAGTGAGTGGAAGTAACCCTGAATTCAATCTTTACTTTTCTCATATTCGGGAAGTTTTTCCTTGAAAAGCCTGGAGAAATATTATGCAAATTTACTCATCGCAGAGTTACTGCACTGTGTGGCATATATTAGCGCTAGTGTAAGCAGGTCTTAACTTGACGCTTAACGAGTCAGCAAGCCATGTGTGCAGCCCTCCGTTGTAAGCGCAGCAGTTCAATGCTGGTAAACAGAGGTATCTATGGCAACGCTTCATAAACACACACGGGCAACTCTCCACTCACTTTCGGACCAGCTCTTCACAAGGTAAGTTGCACATTGGCGATCCTGCCAGATTTAACTAAGCCATATGGAATCTTCCATAAGCTCATTTGGTTTTCTATCATAAAGAGGCCACGCTAATATCAATCGGTTTAGAATAACCGTAGCCTTCACGCACCGCAAAAAAAAATAATGGAAACTGCTAGATCCGGTTGATTCGTTTATAAACGACGCCAAATCTGCCTTAATCGTTTCAAAACGACGCTTACAGAAAACACAAAATCTGCTCAAATCGTTTCAAAACGATGCCACCGCGAAAAAAACTAAAATAAATAAACTGCTAAATCTGCCTCAATCGCTTCAAAACGATGCCATAAAATAAAAAAAGCCTTAATCGTTTCAAAGCGACGCTTTTGCAAAAAAAAATCAATTGGCCTCAATTGCTTGAAAATGACGCCACGATCCCTATTACAAAACAAAAAAATAACGCATACTTTACATTTTACCAGCATTATCTAATGCATATCAGTACGGATGCACTAACCAGGACCGTTTGACACAGGAAATCGACGTCATGGACAGTAGCACTCAAAAAAAAAAAAAAACGGAAGGCAACCTTCCCCATCAAGGGTGCCTTGAAGGTCCGTTCGCTATCCAACGACAAAATGCTGGTGAACGACCATCTGGCCAACTCAATGTTCTCCACACCGGTGTCCTCGCAGAAGATCCGCCGTGAAGCTGGTCAGCTGACGAAGTTGAAAAGCAGCCGCTTTGCACTGCCTTCGTCCATCTAGCAGCTGAAGAATGCCGAAGCTTCTAATTGTATTCAACCTGCCATTGTATGAAGGGCCAAAAACGGTTTGGGTGAATCCGTGCGCAACATCGCCCACTTGCATCCACGGAATAAATGAGAATCTCCTTTCAACAACAGGATCATACAACCGGTCAAAACACAGGCCATCCAACAGGAGGATGTCCCAATGACTGGGGGAGAAGAGCCCACCTTCTTTTCACGAAATGTAAACGACAGGGAGTTGGCATTTCGACTCTCCCCATCCATTTCGCGTCAATCGGGTGCCCTGGTGGTCCGTCCTGTCCACAACATTTAATGTTTAATATAATAATGGAATGAAAGTTAAGAAAAAATAAAGGAATGATATCACCCGGTATGTTACCAAGAAATCCATGATATCACGTTAATCACGAAGATTTCTAAGAGCTCCATAGATATGCTGCCACTATAAAACCAGCACTCTTGCCTTTCGTTCCTCACAGCAGCGTAAACCCCCATCAACCACGAAACACACTCTAGCTGCTCCAACTAGAGGGATCTCAGCAGAGAAAACAAGGCCTGCGTCCACTTTTCATTTTCGTGACACAACGGCTTCAGTTCACTAGTACACAGTCTACCAACATTTTGTTATACGGCAAACATCCCACATTGCGCCCCAGAAGTCCCAGAATCCAATCGGGTCAGTTTTTCTCTGAACAACTATGAGATTAATTGAAAAATCATCCATTTCGATTTTTGAACGAGACTCCTAAGCTCCCTAACAGTGCTCCCATTGATCTTCATGATGATGATAATGATGTCAGAGCAATGGTGCATTCACGGCTGAAAAGGAAAACCGGGTAAAATTCTTTTTTTATGAGGAGAGAGGGACATGTGTGGCATATATTAGCGCTAGTGTAAGCAGGTCTTAACTTTACGCTTAAAGAGTCAGCAAGCCATGTGTGCAGCCCTCCGTTGTAAGCGCAGCAGTTCAATGCTGGTAAACAGAGGTATCTATGCCAACGCTTCATAAACACACACGGGCAACTCTCCACTCACTTTCGGACCAGCTCTTCACAAGGTAAGTTGCACATGCACTTTATGTGATTTCAAGACAAACAATTGAAAAGGCCTCAACCTAGGGGCAAGACGGCTGCACTCAGAGTTAATATTTTCACAGCGAGTAAATTTGAGTAACTCATAATTACTCAAAAGTAATCATAGTAGTCTCGCATTCGTAAAAAAATTAAAATTAAATCAGTATAAACGAGCATAAGCTGTCAGAGTAATCATTTATTCTAGTTTGGTATTCTTGCAACAAATACTCAATAATCAATGTGTATTTCTTTTCAGCATGAATTACTCTTATAAGCGTAGTCTCAGAACAATGGTAGGACAACAAAGTTGAAAAATCAGGAATAGGTATTTCCAAAATGATCCGGAGAAAGCCTGGTACGAAAAACGAGTTCGTATTTGGTGTGCTTTATGACGGGTCGCCTTAAGTTTTCGGCAAACGGTGTGTTCTTTCAATTATAAATTTCAACATCTTTCTTATTGCTACACCACTAATCCGAAATCGTGAGTGAGCTGCAATTCGAAGTGAACAAATATATTAATCCCGGTATAAACTATTATTTTATTTTAAATAAATTTCCTTGACATTACCCTCAGAAATCGCGACTGAATTGTGATGGTACGGTGTATTTGCGAAAGAAGAGACAGTAAAATCTTCGATCATTTTTCAGTCGTACAGACAATACAGTCTTTGAATCAAAAAGTAGTCTTTGTGGGTTATTCCGAGAGTTAAAGCGACTTTTGTCACTAGTGAAGTAAGAAAAGTCATGTCGTGGTGATGTGACTCTCTGTGTAAATCAAATGGAGAAACGCGTCACCACGACGTGACTTTAATCACTTCACCATCTATAATCTTTTTCGTGTCTATGCAATCTGCCAAAATGTTAGCAATGGAGTGCTAAATAACCGTGTTCAATAACCGTGTTCAATAACCGTTTGTATCATCACTATGATAAATTGTGTCACTACTCCATGTTAATTAGAAAATCCTACTATTATAATCACCATCCAATGATAAGATTTTCCTCGTCAAACATATTTGCTTGACAATTGTGGAATGCACACAAAACAAACAGGTTGCTATGTCACCTTGACATTGAATATTGAGCAAATCGAGTTACTCAGAGTTACTCAAAATTTACTCCAATTTTACTCGTTATCCAAAGCTGTCTTACCCCTAGGCCTCAACTCAATTTTATAAACAAAGCTTGTAAGAAAATGGTTCTCGCGAACCGAAGTCCGCCAAGGGAAACCAACAGAATGAACAGGTAGGGGAAATTATTCTCTACCCGATTGTGGTTTAGGTTTGCGAATGTAGTTTTCGGTTTGCGAGAAAATGGCCTTACAAGGTTTGTTTACAAAATAGAGTTGAGGCCATTTCAATTGTTGGTCTTGATGTATGAGTTAACAAAACTCAAATTTGGATCGTTCTCATTTGACGTGTAACAGATTGGTCGATTACATTCTGACAGTCTGCCGGCGTAAAATCAGTGTCAACATTTCAAAGGGGCGTAATTGCTTTTGTAAACAATGGCTTTAGCCATCGATTTCTCGCAAATAAAAGCTCACTCCTCTAAATTAACAATGCTATCTGGTAGAAGAAACATTCCTCTACCTGTTGGTGTAATTAATTTTCATGAGTGAGCTTTTATTTGCGAGAAATCCACGGCTAAAGCCATTGTTTACAAATGCAATTACGCCCCTTTGAAATGTTGGCACTGAAATGAGTCAGCATCAAAATAGAACAACCGTACCTTAGATATCACTCTGTATCACATAAGTATTCCATTCTAAAGGGATTCTCCTCTGGAGCCTCCCCATCTTTCAGAAGTGCCCCCTCCGGACACTTCTTTCAATTTTCAATTCTGTAATTTGGGGAAACCCCTTCAGGGGTTCCCGGGGATGAACCAGCGTCTGGCTGAAAATCTCCTTAATACAGACCCAACCAACCAACCATTCTGACAGTTATTTTACGTATTCTCGGCAAAACGAAAGATTGGAATGTGTCCGTCTTCGTTGACAGCAAAGTAAAATGTGAGAACCGTATTGAAGAACCAAAGTGACGATTAACTCACAGATGGCGAGTGGGTGAAAATGGTAATGACGTTTTGATATCTGTCAAATTGTCTGACATTTTTCAGTACATCATCATTAGGCTAGTCATTAGGTGTCGCATGACCAGTTTTGGCTTTCTTTTGCAATGCCAAACGCTGTGCCGAAGCGTGCCAATCAAGTATCCCATGAGTTCGGCAGCCCTGAAGCTTTAACGATTTTTGTGATTGTTTATTTATGATTACTAGCCACTAGCTGCGCCGGTGATCAACTATTTCGCATGTTAAGCATTATATCAGCAGTGTATAACCATGTACGGAGTTTTCTAAGCATTCAATTTGATATGCGAATTTAGAGCAAGGCATAATGCTTAGCGGTTCCTACACAATATAACGGACAAAGTATACTTACGATTCGGAATGAGCACCATCGCTAGGCCACAGAGTACCTCCAGCCCGCCGACCGATCGGCGGTACCACTTGGAGGGCAGCTTAAAATCGAACATCGATGAGAACGGAAACACTTTGGCATATTTGACGTAATTCTTTCGCTGAAATAGGTGAAATAGAGTGAGAGAAAAACACAGTCATTATTTAGTCGAATCAGTGTGATGGATTTCGGAAAACACGTATCTGGCTTTTATATCTAGCGAATCAATCCCATTTGCAGCTAATATCTCTTCCAAATTGAGCTGGAAATGTGCAAAAATAGAAGGCGGTTTGATTGCGTGCTCTGTTCTCTGCACGATTCGATGATTCCATACAGTGCTTTACGTCTGTGATCGTGCGGCTCCATCAGACAAACCCCTGGTCGGTATTTCGGTTGTGTCGTCGAGAATAAAATAAAGAATCCAGGGAAAGCGGGTAGTTTATTTTTAACAACCTGCACCATCAGATCACAGCTCAACCACGGCTTGTCAACAGTTTGAAATGATCGCATTGACAGCGACACGTTTTCATTCGCTTTCGTAGGTTGCCCAGGGTCAGCAAGGACGCCGATTGCCAACACTACAACAGCTGTGCGTGTACCGCATCAACACCAGTTGTAGGCATAACGTACTCATGAGTTCACGTGTTTTGTTTCGAAAACACGCGCGCTTTCCCCCGGAATGTTTATTTTCATAATCCACTTGAAGACCAATTTTTTATTGACTTCCAAAAAAAAATCACACGTCTCGAGAGATTCCGGAAATTCTCCGAACAACGGCTAAACCATCGTCAGCTATGTATAACGTGGGTGGGGTACATTAGAATCGCATAAAGCACAGTCGATCATATCAAGTCGAACTTTGTTTACGTTGAGCGGAATGAATCGCGAAGTGAGGCAAAAGAAGAACGAAAAAAAAAAACGATCGAGTGATCTATGAGAGTGGAGAGCAAGAGTGGGTACCTTGAACCTGCCACATCACCAATCCAAATCTTTCGTCGATTCAGGTTTAGTTGAATGGGATCTACGAGAAATGAGAGGAGAAGAATGTCCTATTTATAGACCGAAGTGGAAAAAAATTCTTCAAGTTCATCTGCAGTCACCGAGAGGATCATAGCAACCATGCACATCATGCTGTCAAACGGACCGATCACTGATCACTTTACTGCTGATACGAGATATCGTAGTAGATTGGTACGTTCCGTACTTAAATACTATACTGTGCTCAATACATTCCCGTACAACAAACGTTCAGTAATCCCTCCATATATGCGGTGGGTGGTAGCGTCCACCTGCTATCCGTCCACCAATTACGTGACTAGTGTCAACCATAAACTAGTTATCTACAGAAAATCAGCTCAATTGGTTGAAGCATAGCCGAGAAGTAGTGGTGGGTAGTCACCGCCTAAATGAAGGGATTACTGTAATGTAAAAACGATTTGCGAATGGATGTTTATAAATATACAATGCGGTTCGTTCTCTTGCATGCCGACAGAAGACGCTTGAAGAGACCGACGTTTGTGTACTATAGTTTATATACCTACTCCGGGTCGGTTCCGTCGGCCTATATACGCTACGTCGTTTGAACGACGTCACGACGACCGACGCCTGCCTACATCAGACAGCAAATGGGTTTGCGAGTGGAGCCGATGAGCTATTACGTAATGGAGTTTGGGAGGAATTTTTGGAATAAGTGACAGGAGGTATGTGGGATTATGGTTCTGTTACGATGTGGTTTTATGTTTCAAGGATCAAGTTCAGGGATTTTTTTCAAACGTTGTGGGCAGTTTCTGCCCTCCTGTATCGACTTCCAGATGTTCCACTGACTTGAAGCAAACATTTTCAATTGTCTATAAGCTCCAGACTTATATATGCAATCTGGTACTCCAAGAAAGCAACCAGCCGACCGAACCACGAGGAAGCGTTAAGCGCTCAAGCTGGACTTCTTCTTTTTCTTCTTCTTCTTCTTTTTAGCATTTCAAGCTTATTGCAAATCGCATATTAGCTTATAGCGTGCTCTCAACTTAGTGTTCTAGATGCACTTCCACAGTTATTAATTGAGAGCTTTCGATGCCTGTACCATTTTTGCATTGGTATAATTGTGTAGCAAGTCCAATCATACTTCCTATGCCCAGGGAAGTCGAGAAATTTTCCAACCCGAAAAATTCCTAGACCGGACCGGGAATTGAACCCAGCCACCTCCAGCATGGTCTTGCTTTGTAGCTGCGCCTTTACCGACTGAGGTAAGAGAGGCCCCTCAAGTTCAAGCTGAACTATGCTCAGGATTAGTTTAAACAGGATCATTGCTATTCCGCCTCTTAACAAGTTAATCTCAATCCCGTAATAAAAATCGTCAAAAATCAAATTTATTTATTTATTATTCATAAAAATACTGAAATAAAAGAACTGAAAAACTCAGCAAAAAATGTAAACAAATTTATTACAGAAAAAGTCAGCAATTCTTTTACTGACTAAAACGGTAATTTGTGACATTTCAGGGATTTTTCTAATTACTGAGTTTTCAGATAAAGAAAAAAAAACTACTGAGATTACTGAAAACTCGGCTATTTAAAAACTCAGTAAAATTTTACCGATTTCGGTAATCTAAATTCTGTGTGACCATAACACGTAAACCAGTGTGCATGTCAAGGCTCATCTCCACAGGGAATATCTTATCCGGATAACACGCTTAGCTTTTCCATATTTCCGCAACACCCAACTCTATTTCACGATCCGGAACTTCATGCGGTAAATCACTCGCACGTATTTCATGTTGCCTCCCGTGACTTAACTGCCTTTCCATTGACATAATGGAAAATTAATTCATCCCAGTTATTCATAAATGTATACTGCACAAACTCCTTCTAAATGAACTTAATGAAAACCGCTTTATCTTCTGAAGTCCGGAAGTTTTTTTTATGAGTGGGGCGTGACAGAAAGTATCTTTTGCGCAGAACTAAGAGGAAGAGGTGACAATTGGCTTCATACTCTTTTATTTCTATCTCTATCTCTATCTCTATCTTACGCTCATGAAATCGGCCAATCAGGAGCTGGTTCACGTTTGACAGAAAAGTGGTTCATTTTCGCCCACGTTTTGTAACCTCTTCTCTTAGGTGCAGAATATGTAAAAAGAATCTCGAAAAGAATGGACTTCAGCTGTAAATCTAATTGCGTATAAAGAGGTACCAGACATGTTTTACACTATTTTCTAGCTGTGAGATGAGAGGTACAGCATTAGACTGATGCAAATTTTGACATTTTCGCTCCACAGTGCTCAAACGGTTCCAAATCGGGTCATGATAAGTCTCCCAATATTTGAACTCCTTTGATAAGAAACTGACTTGGCACAAACCATTTTAAATTTATATGGAAATTACTATGGGAAATCCAAACTTTTTGTTCTTTTTCTTCTTACTTTTTTCCATATTGCACTGTTCAAAAATTCAAAAGCTATACTTATGGAAAATTTTCTCAGCTACAACTTTGCAGAATATAGTTGTTGAGCCAAACGTCGAATAAAATAGTTATTAATTGTAGTGATCAGTGTAACCAGTGTAATCAGTGATGAAGAGATTGATAATCTTTTGGTATGATCAAGCAGCTGTTTTGTGAGCAACACTGTATCTTGTAGTGTGACATAGTAGCCATGATTTTTGTGCTGTATTCTAAGTGCCAGAAACACCAATGTTGCCTGCTGAACAATTGATTGAGCATAATCATAAGACATTAGTGGCTTGAATTATTGATAACTTTTGATGCTTACATTATATTGAAAAGTGGTTTTGGACAAAGCAGACAAGCAGAGCGATATGGTAAATTATTAGATGGATATGAACAAAACAATTGGTTTTCCCATACTAATTTCTATATAAACTTCAAATGGTTTGTGCCAAGTCAGTTTCTTATCGAATGAGTTCAAATTTTGGGAGGCTAGTCAGAACCCGATTTTGAACCGTAGGAGCACTGTGGAGCGAAAATGTCAAAATTTGCATACATGACATGCAAATTTTTTCTCAACTTGAATTTTTGGCTCATTTGGCGGGTATAAAAAAATTAACGTAAATTCTTTTTAGGTTGTCGTTATAGGAGGATGGGGCGGTTTGTTATGTAAAAATAACATTTGTCGCTTTTCATATTATTTGAACGGGACCGAAAACAGTCTCAATAACTCTTTCTGTAAAATATGTGTGGTCCTGAAAAGGACCAATTCAGGTGAAACATGTCAGAAGGGTCTAACTCGAAACGTAAACAATGACTTGGATCGTCGGTTTCTTACGAATGACAACACACCCACTCAAACTAACTGAATCATCTGACAGATAAATGTTTGTTCTATAAGCTGGTGTAGTCAGATTTCGTGGGTGTGTGGTCATTCAAGAGAAATCGGCGTTCAAAGTCATTGTTTACGTTTCGAGTTATACCCTTTTGATATGTTTCCCCTAAATTGTTCGATGAATTCTCGATGAACATTTCAAATGGTCCTATCTGCTTTGATCGATTCTCTTCATCGACTTTCTCTTTCGTCAATAACTCAGCTGCAAAACCTTTCCCTGTTGTATTTGACGTTTTGGACGCTAGATAAGAACCTCCTTTATCAAACTAAGTGGTAGAATTAACGCGAAATCTGTTTGCATAGCAGTGGTTATGAAAAGAGAAAGTCGATGAAGAGAATCGATCAAAGCAGCTAGGACCATTTGAAATGTTCATCGAGAATTGTTCGATCTCCACAAATTCCACATTCTCTCCACTCCATCGTTGGTTGTCATCAAGGTGATTGCGCTGACTGCTGATATTTTACCACACCGTCTGTCCTATGCGAAAATGAGCGGATTCACAAAATCAGCGCTCTAGCATGACAGCGGTATGTTCAGCAGAGGCAGAGGGAACAATTCTACCTTTTCCTGATTTTCTCATGCTTTTCCTTGTCACGCCATCCGAAGCTTTAATGAGCGGAACAAGTAGTAGTAAAATGTTCGTTTATTTCTGTTGTTTATGATTTATACATTGATTTTACAGGTTAATTGATTAGCCTATCTGGCTCGTCATCTTTGTTCATTGGATATTTGGATAGTTGGATAATTTACTATTTGCGTATTTCATCTAGTTAGCAGAATACCCCTTGGG